CCATACATGTTTCTCTCCACTAAGCTCATTTTAGCTATCATATTTTCTGACTCATATTTTTTTTGAGAGAGAGAGAGAGAACGCACAAGTGTGGGGGAGGGGCAGAGGGAGACGGAGCCAGAGAATCTTAAGCAGGCTCCATGACCAGTGCACAGCCTGACACAGGGCTCGATCTCATGACCCTAAGATCATGACCTGAGCTGAAATGAGGTGTCAGATGCTTAACTGACTGAGCCACCTAGGCGCCCCTAATCATACTTTTAATGTGTCCTAACTTCCTCAGTAGTTTTCTAACTCTTTTATTGTTTGTATTGTTGCCAGACATTTCAAAACTTTTCAGATGAGCCATGTAGGAAGGAACTTTTCAGATAACCCATACAGGAAGGAAGAAAAGGAGTACTGAATCTATAATACATCCAAAGAAAGAATAGTGGGAAAAAAAGGCAAACAGTTAATACTGGGAAATGAGAACCAAAGACTGAAAATTCTAGATGCTAAGCACTTTTAAAATCAAGGTAGTATGTTGGAAGTTTCAATTCCTTTAAATAAATGTGACTATTTTGCCTTCTTTCTCATAAATCTGATACTTAAGTTAACTTGTCTCAGTAGCAGAATATATGAAAACACTTGGGTTTTGCTTGATGAGTTCAAGGGCAATATATTCCCTTTTGGAAACTAAAAGGTCATTAATACCTTTTTCAACTTAAGAATAAGTTTTCATTTTCCCAAAAGTTTACATTTGAGAGCAAGTGTTTAAAATTTGAAACACATTTTCCCACAGAAATGTTATTACAAACAGTGGTTAATTGCCAGGCCATCCCAGTGAACTCAAAACTCATAAAAAGCAAAAGTAGACATTGGCAATGAAAATAGTATAAAACTGTATTATGGAAGAAAAAAAAAGCTTGCCTTTTAAATACAAAAGTTAAATTTCAACATGCAGTTTAAATGTATTCTAATCAGATCCATTACCCACAGTGTTTGAGCCAGGGCCTCACTTTGGGACTCTGCATAAACACTGCAAATGGAGAGGGGAGGAGTGGAAGGTATCGAATTTGGGTGAGTGGGACATGGAGAGACCCTATGCACAGTCTGGGAAGGTAAGTACGTTGTATTTCCCAGCTTGGGGTGGAGGTGGTTTCTACTCTGATTTCTGGAAGTACAATGAAATTGGTACCCCACAGAATGGAAAAGGGATGGAAAGGGGATTTTGGCTTCTCAGAATCCTAGAATCATTAATGTGCTACCATCCAGAGGGTGGGTAATAGGGTATATCTCTAGGCAGCTGGTAAGCATGAATGACCAGCTGGCTAACTCTTTAAGCAGGTGGGTTCTGAGTACCACAGGTGGGCAGCAACAGGCAGTAGACCCAGGCCCCTCTTAGCAGTGTGCTTCCTGGCAGAGGAGAAAGAAACAAAGTGGATTCACATAGGGGACTTGTGGAAATGCTGACAGTGCGAAAAAGACATCATTTCCAACAGGGAAGATCAGAAGAGGAAACAAAGGTATAAGAGGTGTTTCTTGCGTCAATACCAACCAACATGTTAAACTCAACTGGGCTCACCATTTCTAAAGCATGGCTAGGCCTACATTTGATGTATTTCAGGTTTGTCTATCCTGGTTTGGGGATGCACTTTACAAATAATCCTGCTTCTAAACACTACATATTTGTTAAATTAAAATAAGTAAGAAAATATTATACCATAAAAAGAACCATAAGAACTTTTCAAAAACATACTTAAATATTTTTTTAAATCATATATTTTCAGGTTTTTTTAAAAAACTATACTTATTTATGGGGTGCCTGGGTGGCTCAGTCATTAAGCGTCTACCTTCGGCTCAGGTCATGATCCCAGGGTCCTGGGATCGAGCCCTGCATCGGGCTCCCTGCTCTGCGGGAAGCCTGTTCTCCCTCTCCCACTCCCCCTGCTTGTGTTCCCTCTCTTGCTGTGTCTCTTTCTGTCAAAAAAATAAATAAAATCTTAAAAAAGAACTATGCTTATTTATCATGAATCATGGACATCAACAAAAGAAAATTTTTAACCTGCTCTTCCACCCCCTCTCTAGACACGCTCTCCACTAGTACTTTAGAAGCTGGAAGGCATCCTTCCATACACTTGTAATTTTCCATTAAGTATTCAAATACCTATGAATGCATTTTTACATCATTTTATGAGACATAAAAATATGTAATGATAATATCTCAAATCGGAGTAGGTATATGTTATAGCATAGATAGGCCAAATTTATTCAACCATTCATTTATTGACAGGTATTCACTCCTTCATTTATTTTGTTTTTGCCACTGGAAATGCTACAATAAAAATCTTCATTCATATATCTTGTGCTATTCAAATGTATGCTCACTTGTATTATGACAAACACTCCAAATAGCTCACCAGCTCACCACAAGAAAAGTTTGCTTCTAGTTTGCACCACCGTCCGATGCAAGTCAGGTTATTATTTCAAGGCGTTTGCCTCCAATAGTGGTTCAGGGATCCATCTTATGCTTTTGTTCTTAGAGAACTTCATTTCCAGTAGCAAGGATGTGAGAGAGCTTGGAAGATGAGAAGGATGTTAACTAAAATTTTTAATTTGAGTGTATTTGATACACAATATTACATTAGTTTCAGGTGTACAACATAGTGATTTGACAAGTCTATGCTATGATACACTCACAAGTGTAGCTATCATCTGTCACCATGCAATAGCATTCACTTTATTCCCTGTTCTGTGCCTTTTATTCCTTGACTTATTCATTCTGTAGCGGAAGTCTGTATCTTCCATGCCCTTTCACCCATTTTGCCCCTCCTCTGGCAACCATCAGATTGTTCCCTGTAGTCACAGGTCTGATTCTGCTGTTTGTTTATTCATTTATGTTTTTTAGATTCCACATGTGAGTGAAATCATATATTTGTCTTAGTCTGACTTATTTCATTTAGCATAATATCCTCTAGGCCAATCCACATTGTCACAAATGGCACAATCTCCTTTTTTATGACTACATCATATTCAGTGTGTGTGTGTGTGTACACACACATCTTCTTTATCCATTTGTCTACTGATAGGCCCTTGGGTTGCTTCCATATCTTGATTATTGTAAATAATGTTGCAATAAACATAGGGGTACATATGTTTTCAAATTAGTGTTTTCATTTTCTTTGGGTAAATACCCAGGAGTGAAATTATTGGACCATGTACTGTTCCTATTTTAAATTTTTGGGGGAATTTCCATACTGTTTTCCACAGTGGCCTTCCTAATTTGCAGTCCCACCAACCGTGTATGAGGCTGCGTTTTTCTCCACACCTTTGTCACTTATTTCTTTCGAGTTTACCATTCTGACAGGTGTAAGGTGATACCTCATTGTGATTTTGATTTACATTTCCCTGATGACTAGTGATTTTGAGCATTTTCTCGTATGTCTATTGGCCGGAAGATGAGAGGGATTTATGACGAAAACTGGATGTGGCTTAGGACAGTTCTGCCCTGACTCCATGGGCTACAACCCAATCATGAGGTCCTTACCTAACTGCAAAGGAGGCTGGAAAATGCAGTCTTCCTGTGGGCCCAAACAGAGGAAATGGATGACATTCAACCAATTTTGCCAAATACCTTTACGTACTGGTAACTTTATTTCAAAGGATTTATTTCTGGACTGACATTTCTGGACTACGAAATTTCTATATTGTGTGTCATCACTTTGCATAAGGACCATAAGAACTCCTATTTCTGTCAGCAGAGTAAGAATACTCAGCACCATTCTTGCTTTTCAAAATCTCCTCTCTAAGTGCTAGAAGACTAGAAACTGAATTGACCAGATTCTGTCAACAGGGTCCTGGTTTAACTTCCACCAATAAGAGTTATTCTTGCTGTGAAATTAGGAAAGGCAAAAAAAGCGAGGAGCCTTTATTTCATTACACACGTTGACAGATGGCAGAAATGGCACGCACGGTGGCTTCCAGGTATGTCCTGCATCATGCAGAGATTATTGGCTGTGGTTTTCCCTGACCCTGCGCCACTGGATTTCTAAAAGCCAGCAGTAATTTCTATTGACTTTTTCCTTCAGTCTGGTAGGTTAGTGAGCATCTCACTTCTTGTATAAAATCTCTTCCTACTTGAAATATTTAAAGCAATTTTTTTCCAGACCAAGAACTAACTTATACATCCACCTAGCATTTGTCTTTTGTATTTAATGGCCCGGGTTTTTTTCCCACATATAATTTTTTAATTCTCGTATTTCAAGTGTATCTATGTTGTATGTTATAGCTTTGGAACTGCTGTCTGCCTAAACCTTAGTGAACATAAATATTCTGTAAAACTTTTTACAGACTACTTTTTAAAATTTTTATCTTTTAAAGGCATTAATCCATCTGGAATTTACTTTTGCATATGTCGTGAGTGCTAGTATAATTTATTAAATAAATCACATTTTCCCACCCAACTGAAATACCATCCATGTCCCAAATGGCTGGATCTATTTCTAGGCCACCTAGTCTATTCCAGTGATCTATTTGTTTATTCCTAAGCAATGCCATACAGTGTCCTTTGCTTGGCTTTATAAAATAGTTTAATAACTGGTTTATAAATTTAAATTTTAGATAGAAAATCATCTAACAATAATTTGTGCCACCAAGTTAACTCAGTTATATGTAGAACTCAAAATAAATCTTACTGTTCTATATCCGTGCATGTATCTGAACTTCCTATAAATGTTAATAACAGAAACAACTAAGTGCTTACTTAATATAAGGCAGCAATGATCAGTCCTAACCTGATCTAAATGCTCGAGAAGGAGTAGGCTCAGTCTTCTCACTGATTGCTGTTATGATAAATGAGATTAGAAAATTGAATTTGTAATGTTATTGTAATCAAATGCTACTTTTTAAATTTATATATAGTTTATATATAGGACTCCATAAAAGATTTTGTTTATAAAATGGGTACAATTATTAGTAAGTTTTAAAATTATTGGTCTAATACATAAACTTGTATTGCCTTCAATATCAATCATTCATTTAATTTTTTATTGATATAATTTACATAACACAGAGTTCACCCTTTAGAGTGTTCAGTTCAGCAGCTTTTAGTACATTCACAAAGTTTTGCATTGATCACCACTATCTAATTCTTGTTTGTCTGATTTTTTTATTATTAAAAAATGGAAAAACAAAAAAACAATTTTCATTCAATAAATATCATTTGATCCTTATACAGTTTTGTTACAGAAAGTGAAGTCCATGATTTTAGAATGATGGTAGTAATTTATCAACCAAGTAATCAGTTTTCACACAGTTTCAATAACTGCTGCAATTTCCTTGAACTGTCTGTAGAAATTCTGGAGAGAAAAAGGAAAAATAATATTAACTTAGCTTTTAGAGGATATGTAAGTAGTTCTTTTACTTATACTTGACCACTAAAGGCCATATGACATATTAAATTTGTTCAAGTTTATATCACTAACTATTATTATGGGAAAGTTATAAAAAAAACAAACAGGTGCAATTTGGTACCACAAGGACAAATACCATTGTAGAGTTGGATAATTAGCTCATAACTAAAATTTTTAAAAGCACAAAAGAAAGTTCTTTTATTAAATATCCAACACTGTACTAAGCAATGAAGGTAAAAACAAAAATGAGTTTGGGGAAAGGGGGCGCCTGGCTCATTTAGTTGGTAGAGCGTGCAACTCTTTTTTTTTTTTAAGATCTTATTTATTTATTTATTTATTTAGTCATTCATTCATTCATTCATTCATTCATTCATTTTAGAGAGGGAGAGCAGGTGGAGGGGCACAGGGGAAGGCAGAGGGACAAGCAGACCGTGCTGAGCGCAAAGCCCGATGCGGGGCTCAATCTCATGACCCTGATATCATGGCCTGAGCAGAAATCAAGAGTAAGATGCTCAAGCAACTGAGCCACCCAGACACCCACAGCATGCAGCTCTTTAAAAAAAAAAAAAGTTCAGGGGCGCCTTGGTGGCTCAGTCATTAAGCGTCTGCCTTCAGCTCAGGTCATGATCCCAGGGTCCTGGGATCAAGCCCTCCATCGGGCTCCCTGCTCAGTGGGAAGCCTGTTTCTCCCTTTCCCACTCCCCCTGCTTGTATTCCCTCTCTTGCTGTGTCTCTCTCTGTCAAATAAATAAATAAAATCTTTAAAAATATAAAAATAAAAAGTTCAGTTTCCAGGCTTCAAACCACTTTAAATCTAGTGAAAGACTGTTTTTCAGGGTGATAGGAGCTATCTTCTTTAAGATATGGGTTTAGTTACAATAAGAAAGACCCAACACTGAAAATGGCTTATATGGGAGAAGCATATTTCCCTTTCATTTAAAAATTAAGCTGGTATGGTTGTTCTCCTATAAAAGTCATCTTTTTTTTTCCATCTCCCAAAATCTCTTCAGAGAGGAAGCAAACAAATTCTGTTTTCCTTTCTTCTCTACCTGCCGGGAAGCTAGGAGGCAAATTTGAAACTTAACCCCAGCAATTAGAATACTCTCTAATGATTTACAAATTTGCATTTTCCTTCTTATAGTGGTCTTAATTCTCTATTTTGCTACTTAAGAGTATATATATTTCGTTTTAGTTTATATGTAAATTCATTAATGGAATGAAGCTATATACTGACAGTCAAAATTTCAGCTACAAGAAAGATATAAATTAAAAGCTCGGGGCGCCTGGATGGCTCAGTCATTGAGCGTCTGCCTTCGGCTCAGGTCATGATCCCAGGGTCCTGGGATCAAGCCCTGCATCCGGCTCCCTGCTCGGCGGGAGGCTTGCTTCTCCCTCTCCCACTCCCCCTGCTTGTATTCCCTCTCTCGCTGTCTCTCTGTCAAATAAATAAATAAAATCTTTAAAAAAAAATAAAAGCTCAAAAAATGTTGCTATGCTCTCAGTCCTGCAATGTAACTAAAAGGCTCTGTTCCTGGTTAAAAGACATGTAAAAACAATCTTTAAAAGATCTGTCCCATTTGTGATTCTTTTCCTACAGGAAAAAAAATTCTTAGAGGTGGAATCAGAGAGCATGAATGCTATACAGAAAAATAAGAACTGAGCCAAGATTGTGAATATAATTCACAATATAAAGGAATGAAATCTGTATTTTTTTTTAAGTTGACTTGGTCCTTATATTCAGTTGAAGGCTATTCACATATCATAATATACTATATTTCCTTTTTGCCAAGACTTAATTCTTTCCAGGACGCTAATTAGCATTAATAATGTTGAATCTGTGATCATGGGTTTTTGTTCGAAAGCAGCGGTATCTTTTAAAAGAAAGAAATCAAAGGGAACAAAAACCCTTAAAATGTAATTTGTAGAAGAGAACTACCATATGATCCAGCAATCCTACTTCTGGGTATATATATCCAAAGAAAATAAAATCACTACCTCAAGAGGTATCTATACTCCATGTTCTTTGCAGCATTACTCACAGTAGCTAAGGTATGGAAAGAACATAACTGTGTATTGACAGATGGATGCATTAAAAAATGTGGTGTGTGTATGTGTGTGTACACATATATACACACAATAGAATACTATTCATCCTTAAAAAGAAAGAAATCTGATATTTTTGACAACATGAATGAACTAGGAGGATATTATGCTAAATGAAATAAGCCAGACACAGATAGATAAAATGTAGAACTCATAGTAACAAAAGAGTAGACAGTGGTTACCAGGGCTGGGGAGTAAGAGAAATGAGATGTTGGTCAAAGGTACAAACTCAGTTTTAAGATGTGTAAGTTCTGGAGACCTAATGTATAGTATGGTGACTATAGTTAATAATAATGTATTGTGTACTTGAAATTTGCTAAGAGAGTAGATCTCAAGTGTTTTTACCACACAGATACATAAAAAAGGTAGCCATATAAGGTAGTGGATATGTTAATTAACTTGATTGTGGTAATCATTTCTCAATCTCAATCATTTCTCAATCAAAACATCACATCATATACCTGAAATACATACAATTTTTGTCAACTATAGCTCAATAATGCTAGGGGAAGAGTGCAGTCTGTAAAAGAAGAAATCAAAAGTATCTTAAAGAGGTATATAAGAGGATTTTCTTAAAAGGTAAGCCTAGGACCAATAGATTTTTAGTTAGTTTTACAAAGAATTCTTACTATATTTCCATTGCATTTACTTGGTTGGTTGGTTGTTTTTTAGAGTACTTTACTCTTCTTAGAGTACTAACTATTGTGAGGATTCTTAAGTATTCACTCACCAAAGCAATCAAAACAAACAAAAACAAAACTCTAAGGTCAGTTAAAGTAGTCAATGATAAAAACATTTCCTTGAATGTACCTTTAAAAGAAAATCTAATTTTTCACTCAACCTCTTTTTTTCTTCCTTGCTTACAGAAAAGAAGTAGAAATGATAGTATGAATAAGAGGACTCTACATATAAACCACTGAGTTATTCAAATCTCTAATTGATAAAACTACCATCACGTACTGTTACTCTGATCAGCATTTTATAAACATTAATCAGAAAATTGAGGGTCAAGACCACTGTTCAAAGATAAGATTCATTTAGCTTATCATTCCTGAATATTAAGCCTAAAAAGAATAAGAGTAAAATAGTTAAATGCAAAGTAAATATCCTGCCAGAGAAGATGAAAATGTCGTAAATATATTCACAGAAGGGGAGTACTGTGAAAGTGATCAAATATGACAGTACACCAATTCAGCATTATATTGAAAATATTGAAATGTATCAAATTCCCAAAGAAAACAAATTCAGATCTTTTGTGTGTAAATAAAAACAATTAAAAGTTTCCCTTAAGAAAGATTTTATACATATTTAAGTAGCAATTACAGAACAATGAACTACAACTGAATGAGTGAAATCACAAACCTGAAACTGTGGAATTGTCATTTCAAAGGACTTGTTCTTTACTTGGCCTGAATGATCTGCCACTTTCAGCAGCACGGCAACATAAGGATCCTTAAGAGACCTGCAACTGTCCGAGCTCACGGCCATACCCAGCTTCCACTGAAAATCTACAAGCTGTAATGAAACGTTACAGAACAATACATTGGTAATAATATTGCCATGAATGCAGTTATTTATTCAATTTTACTGCTCTCACATTGAACTTTTAGTTTCAATGCCAGTCACAGTAAAAGAAAATATCTTCATTTTAATATTGCTAGGGCAACAATAATCAAATAAAAATGGAGAGAGGCAATACGGGATGTAAACAGAGTTGGAAAACAACACTGTCATAATTACAATAGTAAAACACACACACACACCCATCTTCACCAGATGTATAACGGAAGTAGAAGGAAGATGTAAAACTGCTGGTTTTCCCTCCATTTTGCTCCTGCATTTAAGGGGACTACAAATGCTTTGTGGCCTCTCTCACATCACTCTCCTGTCCCCATTCCACAACCCGAAATCCTAAAATGGAAGATGAGTTACATACCATCTTCATATGTGGCTGGGACCCACATGGGAATCATTCCAGTTTCCTCTCTCACCCTGGTCCTCCACCTGCAGCCTGACACGAGCATAAGCACTGGGTGATAAGGTGGTTTTAGATTTCATCACTGTTGATGATGAACACCTGTCAGGTGATGTGCTAGGTAGTTCACATGTATTAAATGCCTCACTGAATCATCATAACATTATGGGCTATTATTTCCATTTTGCAGATGACAAACTGAATTTCAGAGAGCTTAGATAAAGTGTGCAAGGTCACACATTTCTGTGATCAGAACTGAAACCAAAGTCCGTTTGGCTCCAAGGATTACATGCTTATTGACTACTGGCTGCCTTAATACTTTTTTTTTTTTTTTTTTACAGATTTTATTTATTTGACAGCGAGAGAGGGAACACAGGCGGGGGAGTGGGAGAGGGAGAAGCAGGTCTCCCACGGAGCAGGGAGCCCGATGTGGGGCTCGATCCCAGGACCCTGGGATCATGACCTGAGCCGAAGGCAGATGCCTAACGACTGAGCCACCCAGGTGCACCTGCCTTAATACTTTTAATCGAATTTCTGTCAATGATTGCTCAGTGTTCTGGGGCATAAAACAGGATTGGATAAATGCAGCTCTTAACACTGACTAAAAAACATAAGACGGTGAGTGGAGGAATTTTGTTTCTTGTTTTCAAAGCTTAAACAAATAAATGGTACACAGCAGGCACTCACAAAAAATACTTGTTGATTGATACTTTTTGCTATCAAATTAATGCTGATAGGGCAAAAAGCTTTGCTTATTAATAAACCTTTTTATAAAACTTGGGATCTTTTATAAACAAGACTCATCTATATACTGCCTACAGGAGACAAGCTCTCAAAGTAAGAAGGCAAATAGACTAAAAATGGAAGGGATGGAAAAAGATATTCCATGCAAACGGAAACCAAAGAAAGCTGGGGTAACTACACTTATTGTCAGATAAAATAGACTTTAAAACGACGACTGTAATAAGAAACAAAAAAGCAAGTTACATAACGAAAAAGGGCTCAATCCAACAAGAAGATATAACGTGTAAATATTTATGCACCCAACATAGGAGCACCTAAATAGACAAAGCAAATATTAACAGACCCAGAGGAAGAAAGAGACAGCAGTACAATGATACTAGAAGACTTTAATACCCCTCTTACATCAATGGATAGAACATCCAGACAGAAAATCAATAAGGAAACATCAGCCTTAAACAACATGTTAGAACAAATGGGACTTAACAGATATTTACAGAACATTCCATCCAAAAGCAACACAATACACATCTTCCCGAGTGCACATGGAACATTTGCTAAGACATATCTTTGTTACGACAAAGAAAGTCTTAATTTAAGAGGACTGAAATCCTATCAAGCATCTTTTCTGACCACAGTAGTATGAAACTAGACATTCATTACAAGGGAAAAAACCTAGAAAATTCACAAATATGTGGAGACATAACAACATGCTACTGAATAATCAATGGGTCAAAGAAGAAATCAAAAGAAATTTAAAAAATACCTGAGACAAAGAAAAATGAAAATTTAATATGCCAAAATTTATGGGATCGCAAAAGCAGTTCTCAGATGGAAGTTCACAGCAATAAATGCTTACCTCAAGAAACAAGAAAGGTCTCAACAAGCTAACTTTACACCTCAAGAAAATAGAGGGGCACCTGGGTGGCTCAGTCAGTCAAGCGTCTGACTCTGGATTTCGGCTCAGGTAACGATCCCAAGACCCTAGGATCTAGATCTGCCTGGGGCTCCCTGCACAGCAGGGAGTCTGCTTCTCCCCCTCCCACCTCTCCTTCTGCCCCTCCCCCATTCATGCTCTCTCTCTCTCTCTCTCTCTAATAAGTAAATAAAGTCTTTTAAAAAATTGGAGACACAGAATCTACAGATTCAATGCAATCCCTATCAAAATTCCAAAGATATTTTTCACAGAAATAGAAAAAAATCCTAAAATAAGTATGAAACCAGAGAAGACCCCAAATGGCCAAAGGAAATTCTGAGAAAGAACAAAGCTGGAGACATCATGCTCTCTGGTTTCAAACTATATTACAAAGCTATAATAATTTTTATAGCACTGGCATGAAAAGAGACACATAGATTAATGGAACATAATAGAGAGCCCAAAAATAAACCCATGCATATGTCATCAATTAATATATGACAGGGAGGCCAGAAAGACAGTGGTGAAAGGACAGTATCTTCAACAAATAATATTGGGAAAACTGAACAGCCACATGCAAAAGAAGGAAACTTGACCACTATATTATACCATACACAAAAATTTCCTCAAAATGGATTAACGACTTGAAAATAAGACCTGAAACCATAAAACTCCAAGAAGAAAATACAGGCAGTAAGTTCCTTGACATAGAAATCTTGGTGATGATTTTTTGAATCTGACACCAAAAGCAAAAGCAACAAAAGCAAAAGTAAACAAGTGGGACTACATTAAACTGAAAGCTTCTGCACAGCAAAGTAGCTATATTCATAATAGCCCTAAACTGAAACCACCCAAATGTTCATCAGTCGTTAGATAAATATGTACAACAATGAACTTCAGCTACATTTAACACCAAAATGTTGAAAGAAACAAGTCAAAAGTTATGTGATTCCATTCACTTAAACTTGAGAAACAGGAAATACAATATTGTTTAAGGCTGCATACACAGGTGGAAGAACTATACATAGAGGCAAGAATGTGATTATCACAAAAGGATCATTACCTCTAGGAAGGAGAGAAGGGAGAGGTTTGATTGGGGAAGGGCATGTGGTGGGCTTCTGGGGCACCAGTAATACTCCACTTCTTGAACTTGATTGTGGTTACAAAGGTGTTCGCTTTAAAATTATTCATTAAGCTGTCCATGGTAATGTACTTTTTTTGCATATGTTATCTTGTAAGTATCAGGTGGGGGGAGTGAATATAAATCAGTGAATACAAACCATATTTTTTTTTTTAAAGATTCTATTTATTTGACAGAGAGAGACACAGCGAGAGAGGGAACACAAGCAGGGGGAGTGGGAGACGGAGAAGCAGGCTTCCCGCCGAGCAGGGAGCCTGATGTGAGGCTCGATCCCAGGACCCTGGGATCATGACCTGAGCCGAAGGCAGATGCTTAACGACTGAGCCACCCAGGCGCCCTTACAAACCATATTTCTGGTTGAAAGGAAAAACTTATCATAGGCTACAGTAATCAAAGGAATGCTTTACAGAGAGCATAAGCTTTCAGCTCAGTTTTGAAGACTGAACAGAACTGAAATTGAGAAGAAAATGTGTCTTCTTTATATATTCCAGAAATACACACCTAACAAAGAATAAGTGCTTAATAAATATTAAGCTGAACCAACTAGAGATGGAGAGAGTCAATATCTGTTGTAAGAGAGCATTTAACTGTGTTAAAGTAGATGGCTCCTGTAAGGAAGTATGGAAGATAAAGCTGAAAAAAGAGATGAAGAAGCCAATAATTCTTTTCAAATTGTCAGTTTTCAGAGGTTTTCAAAGTATTCCCATATACTTTTATGGAAAATATGTTAAGTCACTTAAACTTTTCCTGTATGCAATGGGAACTCACTGAATTTTTTTCAGTAAAGGTAAGGATATGAAAGTATTGATTAAAAAATATTCATCTGGTGGCAGCAGAATACAATAATCCAGGTATGAAGTTTTAAGTGCCTGAACTAAGGTGGTAACTAGTAGGATTAAGCTGATCCTTAAAGAATGAATCAGCAGGCCCTGATGTTTTTCTTCACAATTATGGGAGATCAAAGACAACTATGAAAATCTGAGTACAGATGACAGAGAGAATGTTGATATCATGTTACCAATCAGACTTTATATATTTTAAGTCCAAAGGTATTATCAAGTGGGGATAGAGGATATTTAAATAGGAATGATCAATAAGTGGCTAAAAATCCAATAACAGAATCTAAGGGAGTTCGTGATTAGAGATATAGTTTTTATATCAGATCAATGGTGATATCCAAAAATTTAATTCAAAGCACTTCTTAAACTTATTCAGCCTGCACAATTTCTTGATGCTTTACTGTCTACAGGAAAATGGTAGAGAAAATCATTACTTACTTGACTCTGAGTCTGAAATAAAACTCTGGATTATTTAGAACATTTCAAACAGAAAATCAATTAAGGAACACAATGTTGGAATCCACTGACAAATTACAATGGTGAAACTGTCAGGTGAGGAAATTAGGAGAGCTACCATCCAGACACTCACTGTGCAAAATGAGTACTCACGAGTAAAAGAAAGCTGGAATTCAGTTTATGATTCTAAAACTGAACATTTAAATGCAAATTAAAAGCAAATTTTCTAATAAATGTGGTTTAGCCTTAAATAGGAATTAATTAACTGCATTGGAGATTTTCACAAGAAAAGAATAAAAGAGAAAAATCAGAACAGAGCACACTTATCATTATGGAGGATATTAAGAATGGAATAATAGGGGCGCCTAGGTGGCTCAGTCGTTAAGCATCTGCCTTCGGCTCAGGTCATGATCCCAGCGTCCTGGGATCCAGCACTGCATCAGGCTC